TTCAGACTGATTTTGGTTAGTTTTTGTACGATGATTGATGATAATCATTTTCCAAATAATTTTGAATCACACTGTATTTTTTTTAGATTTTTTCTGAGAGTTGTTCTAGAAAAAAATATATATTAAACTATAACTTAATTTTGAATAGAAAAATAAAAATTATTACTTAATAAAATTATGATAATTTATTTTGATAAAAAAATAAAAATTATTTCTTAATAAAGTTATAAACTTAATATATAAACTTTCGATTTTACTGTTTTATTTAATAAAATTAATCTCCCTCATAATTGAGAACTACTGTATTTAATTATTATTTTTTGTATCTACATTTTTACACCAATGAAATTTTGAGATTAGAATCTGGCGAATTTTATATTTATTTGCCGACGCTGTATATTTATGATCCTATTATTTAATAATAGACGTGTTTGCATATGCGACGGTTATTTTACAACAGGTTATTGTCATTTATTATTCTAAAATTCAATAATACTAATAAAAATATTTTAAATTACGGGATAAATTATACAAGACCATATTCAAAAATGTGTGGAAGAGAAAAAATTGAATTGTATTAATTGTATATATTATAGAGCCAATAAATAATATTAATATGTATATGAAATCTAATATCCCACCCAACATTCAAAAATTAATTAATTAAAATGTAGTAAATAAAATATATATTCTAGGTCGATAATAATAAAGAAAGCCAAGGATTGTTTCCAGCAATGAATAAATTATGGATTTTCTTGAGCTTGTGCAAGGCGTGCCTCGAGATTTCTCAGAGCTTCTTCTTTGGCTAAAAGCTCCTGTCTTTTCTCGGTAATTTCTTTTTGTACTTTTAATTCTATTTCTCGCAACTGTATTTTAAAAATTTCAAAGATGATTAAATATTGAGCTAGAAACATTAACAGTGCAAGACATAGCAAATAAAGTAAATACTTTTTCTTCCTCTCTCTTCAATTGTTCTTCTTTCAATCTTACACTTTGCGTAGCAAGATCCTCAGGTAGAATATTAGTTTCTCTAAAAAATTAATTTCTTTTAGACTTGTACACTTTAATTTACAGCGAACCATAAAATTGTAACTTTTTCTTACTCGGGAGTATTGTCAACACCACGACTAAGTTTCTCTGTGCGGTAATTTTCGTAGAGGAAATCATGTGTGATTTCCTTTAAATCCTGCAAATGAGAACTAAAAAAAAAATCAATATTGGGATTTTATATAAAACTAACATCTTCTCCCTATTTTACCTTAATAGAGCAGATCTTAGTCTAGCAAAATCAGAATGTTGAGGGTTATCAACTAAGAAAAAAATTTAATGAAAATTAATTAAGCTGAAAAAAAAATATTTTAATTAAAAAGATTAACAAACCTTCGACCACACCCCATGGGTATTGACGCCCACGAACAGATTTACCATTGACACTTATTTCTTCTTCGCTGCCAATAATTGCGAATGGCAAAAGAGCCTAAATAAAATAGAAAAAAATGATAAAAATAAACAAATAGCAAAACTTGCGCATCAAACTAATGTAAAATAAAAAAGAAAAATACCCGAAGTTCACTATTTTCTTCCACAGTATCTTCATCGTCTTCTTCGACATCAAATGGAAAGTTATAAATAGGGATATTGTAATATTCAATATCTTCCATAATCTAAAAGAAAATTTAAGAGTTAACATAACAAAAAATTGAGTAAAAACTTTACAACAATTACCCTTTTTTTGAAATCACTAAGCTCGGTTGGAGTCAATGTATCAGCTTTTCCAATAACTGGAATGACATTAACTCGCGGACTTAATCGCTTCATTAGTTCGATATCAATTTCACGCAGACTATAGTAAATTAGATTAAAATTATTAAGGGGCTTATTTCATTATTTTATAATTCTACATATCTATACATATATGTTGAATTCAACACTTACGAATGGCCAGTAGCTGTAATAAAATAAAGAAGTGCATGGACTCTGTTATCTCTGAACCGTGGATTACGTTTAATTCTAGATTCTTCGGCAAGGATATCGTCATACTGTCTTTCTAAGTAACCCATTATTTCCTGAAAACTTTTAGCCACAAATAAAATTAATTACGGGTTTTGATTTCAAAAAGTAGAAAATACATGATATAAATACCAAAATTCATTATCAATATTATCACCGAATCCAGGAGTATCTACGATTGTTAAAGCGATACGGACACCATCTTCATCAAGCTCTGAAAGATTATACTATTCATTAATGTTCTGAATAATTATTTTAAAAAATTTTTAAAACTTGAGCCTACCGACTGTAACTGGTTTTATACGAATTCCTTCTTCAACATGTGCATTTTCCGGATTATCGCAAACTTTTTTAGGTAAAACTTCGCTTCCGCAAAGTGTGTTAACAAAAGTCGTACGACCGGTTCCAGACGCGCCTGTTAAATAAATTGTATTATTTGTACAAAATCAACGTATTTACGTATTTAATTTGGAATGTATCGTATATAAAAGCGAAATCATTGTAAAAAGCACAATACTTACCAACTACCATTAAGGTAAATTGGAACCCTTTTTTCACATTTTTTCTACGACCTCCTAATCTCTAAAAGTAGTAGTTGAAAAAATTGTAACAGTTTGTAAATGAATTTACTTAACATGATGAAGAAACTTTAACAAATTTCACAATAAAAACTAACGTGTGCCATGTTGGATAGACGAAACTTTTACTTATATATATATATATATATATATATTGTATAAGATGTGGATTAATAAAAAAGAAGTAAAAAGTCCTTGAGGGAGTGAGTGGATGTGTGCAAAACTGAAATGAATGAATTTAACAATGACCAGTTCGGGGAAGATGAAAAGGTGTCGAAAGTAAATTTTCAAAAATGTCACACTAACATAATTTGTTTGGGTAAAAATATTGAAAAAATGGGTACACATATGCACACAGCTTCAATGATTATACCAATTAATGTCTTGAATTAAAGATACATGTGGATTGCATGCATACGCAATACATAAACTTCATTTTCATCAAAAATCAAAAAATTCAGAATGTTCACATGAATAACTATTGCATATTTCATTATTGATGTAGGAATTAAGATGTATTTTCTTTAATTTTATTATTGTTGTACTAAGTCCCTCAAGAATAACATGATTCCTTTGGAGTCCAATTCAAGGGAAACGCGATCCTCATATGTTGGATCCGGGAATCCAAACGGACCATCAGTCATGGTCTTATGATGGATCCCGTTCCAAGTGGTAGAGTCAGCACAATTAGTGGTGAGCGATGTTCCTACTGTAAACGTATGATGATAATAAAATGCAGCTACCAATCGAATGAATAATAAGGGGCCCCATTTTAAGTATATAGGACATACTGCAATTCGAGTGGTGCCTTTGAATGGCATACCAGGAGAAGGGTGGCATGAGACCTGGATATCACTTGGTATTCCATAACAAATGAACCAGGCGCCCAAAGTCTCATTAAATATATATGCCATATCTCCATCTGGCATTGGTCCAACAGTTGGAGCTGCGAAAGGATCGTGACATGGAGTTTTGCAATTAGGACATGCTCTTGGTGATGATGGCATGCTTAACCATGCCTCAATACATGATTTGTGAAAAACATGAGGACAATTTTTCATTTGTGTAATGTCTGAAACTTGGGTGAGATTGGTGAGTATTGAATCAGCGCATATTGTGCATCCTTCATGAGTTGAATATGCTTCTTGAAGTCTTTGATCGCTTGCAGGTATTAATACTTCGTGCCAATTAACAGCACGCGTTGATTCGACGTGATGACGTCTAGCATAAACAATCCCTTCACAACTATCCAATTTTCTTAACATTTCCACTAGATCAGAATCGAGCTCTCTTATGGTTCCTCCTTTTGTTGACATTACCCAAGCTAAATATGATGCCAAATTTGGAAACCTTGATTTTGATACACTTGGCCAATATTGTTTGTCTGCAAGTTGTGCACCAGAAAAATTCGAGTTTCCATTCGTCAAGTTTATTTTGGCAATCCATTGATGCAATGCCGTACGAGCTTTACGCATTGTGTAATCAGCAGGCGAATTGTTAGATGATGGCAAGGCTGACGAATGCGCAACAAGTAGAGGAGACCATCCTTTTGGGAATTGAGGACTTCCAGTATTAAAATTAGAGTAAGTTAGTGAATTTGATGGGTTTGAAGGGGGACTTCCAGTATTAAAATTAGAGTAAGTTAGTGAATTTGATGGGCTTGAAGGGGTTAGGAAACTTTTGGTTGACTAAAATTTGTAAAATTTTAATAATTATTATAAACATTAGAATAAGTTATCAAAGATAGGTAGGTCTTAGTAACAGAAAAGTAAATTTTCAGTTACCTGTAATCCAAAGAGTAAACCACCTAAACCACCAGAATTCCCGGAAGATGGTAATGAAACATTTGTTTGATTATTCAGAAATGGGAATGAATTATTCATAGGTACATTTGGCTGATTATTTAGAGTTGAGAATGAATTGTTCATTGTCGCGTTTGATTGATTATTTACAATAGCGAATGGATTATTCACGGGCAAATTTGCAAAGCTAGAAACTGAAAATGGACTATGCAAAGTCATATTCGTAAAGCTGGGAGGATGTGTGTATCCTAAGACTGAAATCTGAGAAGTAAGATCCGGAAACTAAGAAATCAAATGGAAAAATGGGATTATTTGTTTTTTAACAAGACAAACTCGACAAAAATAATACATAATATATATAAGCACAATATACTACTAACGTTTTTGTTCTCTCGCTCATAATTGATTACCAATATAGGTAACACTTGAGTTTTTTCATAAACAACATATTCATCAGCGACTGCAACGTAGTGCTTAACACTATCGTATCCTTTTGGCGGAAATTTTGTATGTGGATCAACTGCTTGAAATTTTGTATTGTCATATATTTTACCGAGCGCAGTTACACATACTATCAAACATCTTTCTGCATTATTGTGGCGACTTGCAAAAAGATCACATTTTTCAAAACTCGGTGATAAATATATTGCAGGACCACAATTTCCAAATTGTCTGGATAACCGACTATCCTATTTTTGTAAATTAAATTTTTAGATTTAGAGATTTAACAAAGTCCTTATAAAAGATACTTCAGTACAAAATTAAACAGGTTTACCGTAGTCACATTATGACTTACCAAACCATGTTCGAGTATAGAATGGACATTATCAGGATGTGTACCATGAAATAAGACCGTATCATTGAAACAGCTTGTATAATCCGAGGTTGAAGCGCTTCTAGCCTCTGCTTCCATTTGCTTTTTCAAGTTTTTAAACTGTTGATATCTAATCATGAAAAAAAAATAAAGCTTTACTTTTCTGCACAAAAGAACTATTGTCTTAAAAAAAAAAAATTCATTTACCTTTCCCATACTTCTCGGTTTCGAAGAATAGCAATTGTGGTGATTCTACAGCAAACATTCTCCAGTGGTAGCTTAAAATAGGCAGCGATGTCAACGTAAAGAGAATCAGTATGATTTAAAGGTAGTTTTGTTGGAGGTGTGGTCAAAGGCACGTTAAAATATTCTCGTATACGTTCTAGGATTAGACCGCCATCCTCAAGTTTATATTCTTTTTTTTTAAAACTCATTTGGGTGAATTCAGCAACGATTCATACCGATACGTCATTCCAATGAAATATAACATTTAAATCATTATCATTATTCGATGTAGAATGGATCACGTGAGCAGAATTGTTTTTCAATGCGACATTGATTGATTGTGCGTATAATAACTTATTTGGAAATGATAATCCTTCAAAAAATTCGGTATTAAGCCATTTGCCCAAATTATTAAAAGTTTTCAACAATGAGGATTATAATAAAAGGAGGAATTTGGAAGAACACAGAAGGTAACATTTTTTTATTCTTTCCAAGTTCGCAAAGGCTTACTATAACTCGCTCTTTTTATCATAGATGAAATCTTAAAAGCTGCTGTCAGTAAATATGGAAAGAACCAATGGGCACGAATATCTTCCTTGCTTGTTAGAAAATCTCCTAAACAATGTAAAGCTAGGTGGTATGAATGGCTTGATCCGAGCATAAAAAAGGTAATTTTTTACAAGAATTTGTCATCTTTTTTTAGTCTTATTCACCACGCTAGGATCTATATTTAGACTGAATGGTCAAAAGAAGAGGATGAAAAGCTGCTTCACTTAGCGAAATTGATGCCAACTCAATGGCGCACTATTGCACCAATCGTCGGTAGAACGCCTTCTCAATGTCTTGAAAGGTATCAAAAATTGTTAGATGAAGCTGAAGCAAAGGAAGGCGCTGATTTAGGCTTAACGGGACCTTCAGGTGATGCAGGCCCAAGTGCAGATGATGTACGAAGATTGAGACCTGGTGAGATTGACCCAGACCCAGAGACTAAACCTGCGAGACCTGATCCTGTTGATATGGACGAGGATGGTGCGTATTATTATTAACTTTAGATTTTTCTCATTTTTATTTATTGAAAATACATTATTAATTTCTATCACTTAATAATCAGAAAAGGAAATGCTATCAGAAGCTCGTGCCCGTTTAGCGAACACACAAGGCAAAAAGGCTAAACGTAAAGCACGCGAAAAGCAATTAGAGGAGGCAAGACGATTAGCTTCCTTGCAAAAAAGACGGGAATTAAAAGCAGCCGGAATAGAGTAATTTGTTTGACAAATATATACTTCTTTAGTTTGTTCTAATATATTAAAACTTAAATACTTTTTATAATTTAGTTTAAAAGTAAAAAAGAAAAAAAAGGGAATGGATTACAATGCTGATATTCCATTTGAAAAAAAACCCGCCAAAGGATTTTATGACACTACCGAAGAGAACTCTCGTCAATCAGAACAAGGAATGACTAATGTTCATCTTCAAAAGCTAGAGGGAAAACGCAGGGCAGAAGGTTTTGAAGAGAGAGGTCGTAAACGTCAAAAATCAAGCAAGAATGATAAAGAAGGCGGAGGTCCAGTTAATTTTGTTCCTGCTAGTTCAACACAGCTAAATAAATTAAAGCAAGCTGAACAAATAAGTAAAAGAAGAAAATTGGCCTTGCCAGCACCACAAGTTGGAGAAGATGAACTCGAAGAGGTATATATTTTGATTTCAAAAATCCATCTTCACCATCAGTAATTATAATACTAATATTTATTTTTACCTGATAGATAGTAAAAATTGGGTTTGCTCGTGACACCTCTGGATTATCGATGGTTACGCCAAGGACACCAGCCACGGGCATGACGTCCCTTAGAACTCCCCGAACACCTGCTTTTGGTAGGTGCTTTTAATCCGAGTTTATCGAGTAAAAAAATAAATAAGATTTTTTTATAAAGATATACTAATAAATAGTAAATTTATAGCTAATCCGGCTGCTATTAAACAACTTCGAAATGAACTTTCGAGACTTCCAGCGCCAAAAAATGATTTTGAAATTGTTTTACCAGATGTCCAACCAGGAGATACTCAGGTGGATGAAATGGAATTTACTGAAGAAGATGCTGCTGATCGCGATCGTAGACTTCGAGAGCAACAAGAAGCAGAAGGTAAGATTGCATCTATAAATATCAATGTTAACTTTACCTCTATTTAATATCAATTTTTATTATTAACATTAAATAGAACGTGCCAGGCTTTCACGCATATCTCAAGTAATCCAACGCAATCTTCCTCGTCCTATTGATGTCAATGAAAAATCACTACTTCGATTATCTCAAAGCGAAGATAAAGTTTACCAGCTAATCAACTTCGAAATGGTTCAGTTATTGCATCATGATGCAGTAGAATATCCTGTGCATCATAGCAAGATTTCAGGTGGCCCAGTGGAACCACTGGAGGAATTTTCGGATGAACTTTTAGCAAATGTGTGTAAGATTTTTATTATTCGGGATATGCATCAGCCATTAATTTTACAATAATAGATATTAATTCTTAATCTTTTTCCTGTTTTAGGCACGTAAAGCAATAGAAGAGGAACTTTCTCTCTTAATTAAGAAAGACCCTCATGAGGTAATTGATGGAAATGATATTCCTGAGATCGAAAGATTTGATGAATTTTGGCAAAGAATAAGCAATAATAAGAATAATGATGATAATAAAAAAGATGATCTTATACGAGGATTTCAAAATACGCTTGAGGTAATTGAAGGTATAATAAAACTATAGGAAATACATTCTGCTTCATAATTAATTTATATACATTATGAATAGTTTAACCGAAATGCAATGATTAAAGAGGCTACTAAAGCAGCAAAAATAGAAAAAAAGCTAAACACAACTCTGGGCGGATATATCGTAAGTTATTGTTATTTCAAAGAATTATGACTTTTTGGAATACGTGTTAAATCATCTTCAAAATTTGTAATTTAGTCGCGTTCTCAGTCGTTGTCTAAAAAGATTAATGAGACTTTTGAGCAGTTGGAACAAGCAAAAGTTGAATTGAATTCCTTTAAATCATTGCGCATTTCTGAGAAAGAATCTATACCTTTACGTATAGAGGTAAGAATTTGACTTTTAATGATTTCGATTAAGTATCATAAAACTTATTTAAATTCTTTTACTAGAAACTGCAAAGTGAAGTGGATCATCTTGTGAGGCGGGAGTCTGAGTTACAGAAAAAATATGCACACCTTTCAATCGAAAAGCAGGCTATTCTCGAAAGAATTGAAGCAATGCAAAATAAAAAATAGGATGTTTAAACCACTTGTTAGTTACTCTATTATTAACCTATATACAGTAAAATAAGTATTCTACGTAAGGTTATCTATTATAATGTCTTCGATGTAGCTATAGAAAATTCTGAGTTGAGTTTTCTAATGTGTACATTTTGATAACAATAATTCAATTTCTGAGTAAAAGATAACTGGGTATGTTGCAAACTTTTGGCTTGCTCCCGGAGTTCATTACATGGGATATAAAATTCTCGCTCGGGTTACTTTCCGCTCAATATATTTTATAATCCTTTTAAGTTTACAATCTAAAATTTTGTAAATTTTTTTCGAGGGATATTTATTACACGTTATTGTTCTATCTTTGAAATTGCAAAAAATAATGCCAAAAAATATGCATTCTATTTATTTTATACCTTTAAATATCAAGTTTCATATTAATGATATTAACACAAAAATCGAATTTTTCTAATTACTTGGAAAATTTTAAAATTATTATTCAAAATATTAAAAAGATCGGCAATCATGTCTAATGTTATGATGAAAATGGGACGAATTAAATTTGCGTCAATTAATAAAAATGTATTGCTACTATGCTAAGATTTTTTGTAGCTATCTTGCCGTTCATTGTATGCTTGCTCTACCCATGACTTCATATCCACTTCGATTTCTTCGTATTTTTGTAAAAATGGATGATCCTAATTGTAATATTTGTATTAGTTATAAATTTTGAAATATCTCCAAACATTTATTTGTTTAAACTTACTAATAATTCTCCATACGTTGGACGTGCTTTTGGATTTTTGTTGAGGCTAATAAAAAAAATAGTTTTTTGAATATAATTTCACATTAAAAATTTTCAGAAAAAAAATATAATACCATTGTGCAACAAAATCACGACAATCTTCCGAGAACTTATCGTCCGGTAGCGATGGCGGATCACCTTCTACAATTGCATTTAACTGTGCAAGTATTCCTGTTGTCTTATCAGGCGTTGGATAAGGATATTTTCCCGTACCAAGCTCTAGCAAAGAAAGTCCAAGTGACCAAACATCAGATTGTACTGTATATGTACTAGCTTCAACTTGGTTTATTCGCTCTGGCTATATGTTGTAATAATTTATTACTAATTTTTAATTAAGAAGATAAATACTATTTATTAACTAGCATATACACTCACTGCCATATAACTTTGACAGCCGACGTTTGTTTTTGCAAGTGATTGAATAAGTTGTCCTGATACTCCAAAATCGCAAAGTTTTATTTCACCTTGCATATTTACCAAGACATTTGTTGGTTTGACATCTGTGTTTGTTATTTTTGTTATTGTTATAAATAAAAAAATAAAAAGAAATATATAAAGTATAATAATATCCTTGTAAAATATTTCAAGAAAATTTAAAAACTTACAATTCTATAAAATAGCTTACCGCGATGAATTATCCTCAATTCATCTTTTAAAAATTTCAACCCTTTTACTATCTACATTTTGAGAAATAACCTAATAAATTAAAAGCAAAAAAAAATTAATTATAATCATAAAGAAAACTCACCGAGATCGTAATTTTTGCAAGTACATCTTCTGGAACTCCAGCTCCATATAATTTATCTAATGAACCAGCATCCATGTATTCCATGCAATAATAGACACACGATTCTATAAAGAAAGCACCATAAAACTCCACGATATATGAACTGTGCGATTTATGAAGAATGTCCAACTCCATCAGTATTTGATTTAATTTGGCCTCATCAAGTTCGAGTCGAATTTCCTAAAAAAAATTGGCAAATTTTGTTATGTCTTAATGTATACAGCAATAGCAATAGGAATAAAATAGTATAATAACAGTAATAGTGATAGTACTAATAAAAATCCACATAACAATAGTAAACAGTAAGATAATAATACTAATAAAAAAAGAAATATAATAGCAATGCTCAGAAAATATAATTAATCCTAAAGAAAATCAAATACAAACTTTCATAGCCATAGTAACGTTTGTTGGTTTATGGAATACTTTTTGCACAGTGCCAAATTGCCCTTTTCCAAGCTCTTCCTCTAGCCTAAGTTCATCCATATTTATTTTATAGCTGTTACCGTTGCTAAAATCAACTCCTTTTGCATGAAGAACAGCTTTTCCACTGAAGTTCAATTTTCCAGAGGGGTCTCTAATTTGAAAGATATTGATTTCTTAAGTTTCACACTAGATAATGGTTCAAAAAAAAATAAAATAGAGCTCACACATATCGGGAAAAGTTTGCAAAGGGAGTTTTCGGAGTCATTACACCAAGTTGGCCAAGATTCATTTTTGGTTTAAGTCTCGAGGTTGTATTGGTATTGGGAGATTTCATGGGACTGCCTTTTAATCCAAAACCTTTTGGTTTAATAAATATCGGGTCTTTTTTTGCTTCAGAAGTTGTAACTTGGGCTTTACTATCCTCCATAGTAGTTCAAAAAGAAAAGATAAATATCGATGATATAAAATACAACGATAACGTTAATATTTTTAGTAATATCGTTAGTGTTGGTTTATGATCTATATGACCAATCATAGATCATTTAAATACTTATGATTCTGGTCATATAGTCAACCAATAAAATTCCATCAAAATAAATCTTGCCAATTATATCTACAAATTTGTGATTTCAAGATGACAATCTTTTTATATTTTGATATTATTTTAATTTTCTCTATAATAACAATAAAATTTATAATATTATTATAGAGAGGTTAACGTGTAACAACCTCATGTTTTCATTTCAGGGAAGACAAATATTCCGTATCTAGGGTGTGAATAGAATTTAAAAATGACCATGGTTTTTTGCCATCATTTACACTCAAATTGAGTGTAAAATTGACTTGCGGAACTTAAACGATTTTAATTTTCCGCAAACGAAATCTGATATGCACATGCGGATTCCGCAAATAAATTTTTTGACCTTCCGCAATTCTCCGCATATGAATTTTAAATTGCGCATGTTCCGCAAGTTAATTTACTTGCGAATTTTATTATCATTAAAAATCTCGAAAATCAACGGGATTTGTTAAATATTGATCCATATGATTTATGTAATAATGATTATAATACGCGAAAATTTTAAACAATAAAAAATTAACTTTGGGATGCGATATCTTGACATCCAACTATCCAATTTAAGACAAAAATAGGAAAATACAATTCGTCTAGATGAGACGAATCAAATGGGACCTATTTTGCCCAAATTGGACAGTTGGGACGTCGAAATATCGCGTTCCAAATTACTGGATTTTCTATCATCACAATGATCAACACGGTTTGCAGTAATGCAGTAACGATAAACTGGACACTCTTTTACCATGAAATTTATTTTTATAAATTACGAAATTATATATTTATTTCCGCAAATATGTAATATGTATTGGGTGTGTGAAGCGCAATTAGATTTTAAAAACAAGTAAATTCATTTGGTTGCGTACCCGCAACCAAATTAAAAATTGAATTTTAGGCACTGATTTAGATTGTACTTTTATTGATTAATAATCATGTGTCTACCAGGGATTTCTATTGAGAGGAAATATTAATAAACTTACACTATTTGAATACAGAATTTGATCTCTTAGAATATACTGTTTTTCTAACAATCAGAAATCAAAATCATAACCAAATATAAACAATTTTCCAGCACTAGTTTTTAAACTTGTATTGCTATGATAATTTTGCTAACTTTGCTATGATAATTTCACTATGATCTATATGCTTGTAAAATCTTTTACTTTTAACTTTATATTATAAGCAGAAATAATTTTTTTATAATGAATTAAAAATTTATATCTTTTGATTATTAAATATAAAAAAAATAATTTTTTTAATGATTATATATAAAATTTTAATTTTATATTATCTTTGAAAATTTATTAAGATATTGTATTTTATTAAAAAAAATATTAAACTTAATATAGCTAACTATATCATTAAAATTCTTAAGTATTTCTAAAATTTTTAGTAACTTAACTATTTTAGAAGAAAAAAAATTTAATTTTAAAGAGAAAAAGATATGTATTAATTTTTTTATTTATTAATATATAAAAATTATATATAATATATTAAAAATATATTTTTATTTATATCTTAATTTTAATATCTTTCTAATCTAATATAATTAGCTTAAAATTATCTTATAGTAATAAGAAAAAATAATATAAAAAACTATATAACAAAATGATAATATTATAAATCAGAAGAACAAGATAATAAAAATTAATAATAAAAATATATTAAACTAATATAATAAAATAATAGAAAGACTTAAGAATAAAAAGTATAATAAACTAACTTATATATTTTTTAAAACTAGTACTATAAGTATTTTATAATAAAAAATATATTGAAAAAAAATAATAAAAGACTTAAAGTCAGCTAAGAATTTATAAAATAATTAAGAAAATAATTAATTAAATAAGTAATTTAATTTAAAATATATAAACTAACTGAGAATTTATCTGGATGAAATATTCAAATAAATAAAAAATAATAAATAAAAAAAAAGAATAAAAAATTAAAAAAGTAATTAATTAAATAAGATGCTATTAAAAATAATTTGATTTAAAGAATTATATAAATAAATTAAGAATTTATCTAGATAAAATATTTAAATAAATAATAAAAAGAAAAATAAATAAAAAATAAATAAAAAGAAAGGATAAGAAAAAAAATTATTTTTTTTATCAAATTTATTATTATATTATTATTAATTATATATAATATATAATTAATAATAAGTTATATATTAGTATATAGATATTAAATTATATATTATAATAAAATAAAATTATATAATATATATAAAAAAAATTTAAAATTTATTTTAATCTGAATTTATTTTAATCTATTATAATAAATATCATAAAATTCTAATAATAAGTAATTTTCTAAAATAAGTAATCTCTCTTTTTTCAAGTTTAAAAATCTTAAAAAAATTAAATAAGCAATTCCTTTTTTTTAGTATTATTCTTGTTATGATCTTACTTTTATTATATTATCAAGATTAATAAATTATTTTTATTTAATTTATTAATCAATATCTTATTGATATATTTTTATATATTTAGAATTTATTAGTATACTTTATATTAGATTATCTTTTTAATAATATATCAATTTATATCTAATATTATATAAATTAAAATTTATATTGTTACCATTTTAAGATTATACGTATGTAATTATTTTAAAATGGTAATAGTAACTGTGTTCACGGCAATTATTTACTTTTATAGGTCCAAGAGGGTTATACGACTAACTATTTCTCAAATAAGGTAATATGTATAAAATTTATAACTGACGAATTATGATTATCTTCTCAATAAGATAATTTATACATGTTTTACTTTTAACAAAAATATGATTATCTTCTCAATAAGATAATAT